GGCATACTTGGATTGTGTTTTGGGAGTTCGTAGCTTAATTAGGCTTGAAATGCCAAAAGTTGAATTTTTGAAGTTTCCGGTTTGGTAGTGAGATTTTGATATCGGGGTCAGAATGGAGTTCCGGAAGTCGCAGTAGGTCCGTTGTGTCATTTAGGATGTGTGTGCAAAGTTTCAGGTCATTCGGACGAGGTTTGATAGACTTTTTGATCAAAAGCGGAATTCGGAAGTCTTTAGAGTTTTTAGGCTTGAATCCATGGTTAATTTGATGTTTCGATGTTGTTTTAGGTGTTTTGAGGATTGGTACAAGTTTGGAAGGTGGTATATGACTTGCTCGTGCCTTTGGTTGAGGTCCCAGGGGCCTCGGGGTGATTTCGGGTGGTTAACGGGTGATTTTGAGTTGAGTTTGGCAGCTGAAGGAGTTCTGTTGCTGTCATGACCACACCTGTGGCTAGGGGACCGCAGGTGCGGGCACGCAGGACCGTATAGGAAGCCGCAGATGCAGCCAAGGGAGGGGCAGGCTGGGATCGCAGAAGCGAGGTCCTGGTCGCACCTGCGATTGCGCAGATGCTGGATTTCTTGCGCAGGTGCAGCCCTGGTGTTTTAAGTGAAGTTCGCAGGTGCGCACCTCGGACCGCAGGTGCGGGTCCGCAGGTAGACTATTTAACCGCAGGTGCGATTTTACTGGGGCAGAAACTATAAATTCCACCCTTCGCGATTTTTGACCATTTCTCTCAATTTTTTATTCGGGGTGAAGCTTTGGAGGGCATTTTCATGGGAGATTTTCAGAGGGATTCATTGAGGTATGGTCTTTGGTCCTTAAGCTCGTTATTATGGTGATTTTTATCATTGTAAGCATGAAATTTGAAGGAAAATCAGTGGTAAATTGGGGGTTAGGGCTTGGTTAATTGGAGAGCTTTGAGTGGTGATTTGAGGGACCATTTGAGGTCCGATTTTGGTACTTTGGTATGACTGAACTCGTGAGAGTGTGAGGATCTCGAATTTGTAAATTTTACCCGATTCCGAGACGTGGGCCTGGGTGGCGTTTTGGTCATTTTTCCTAATTTTGCGTATTAGCTTAGAATTAATTAGTTGAATTAGTTACTTGAAGTGTTATTTACATTATGTAATTACTTTGAATAGATTTTGTCCATTTGGAGTCGGATACTCGTGGCAAGAATGTGGTATAGATTTGATTGAGCTGGTTCGAGGTAAGTGGCTTGTCTAACCTTGTGTGGGGGAACTCCCCTTAGGATTTGGTACTGTGATATTTGAAATGCCTTGTACGTGAGGTGACGAGCGCGTACTTGTCTTGATTGTTGAAAATCCTGTTTTTCATTTAAGTATCTGTAATTTCATATTTTTCTTCACTGTTTACACTACTTGAACTTTAGGCTTACTGTTAGGAAAGCATGCCTAAATGACTAAATTGCCTACTTGCTCAACTTGCCTTATCTGAACTCTGTGCAGCATGCTAGGTTAGAATTACCTGTCTATTTTTATATTAAATTGAATTGAGTTGATTATTCTTGTGTTGTTGCTGCGTGTTTACATCGGGACTACGGGCGATTCCCGGTAGATCCCCCTTGTTTGTTTATTTGGGACTACGGATGTGGTATTTCGGTAGATCCCCCTGCACAGTGATAGACAACAGGACAGCACTCAGGAGATCCACTGATTATTTACTTTTGGGGCTAGAGGACGGGATCCTGGTAGACCCCCGGTTGTTATCTCGATGTTGAGTTGTATACCTTCTGTGATTATTTGCCTTGGTTGTGGTTGTTGTTTCTCTCATTATCTGTATTTCTTTACTACTACTCATCTTCCTTATATATTGTTGTATATGACCGGTAGGGCCCTGACCTTCCTCATCACTACTCGACCGAGGTTAGGCTTGGCACTTACTGGGTACCGCTGTGGTGTACTCATGCCCTTTCCTGCACATGTTTTTGCGTGTGCAGATCCAGGTACTTCCACTCAGTCTTATCACCCTTGAGGCGAGGCGCTTCTGTAGAGACTTCGAGGTATATCTGCCGCATCCGCAGACCGAGGAGTCCCTTTCTATTCTCTGTACTAGTATAGCCCTTCTATATCTTCCTTGTTGATAGACATTTCTGGAGTTAGAGCCTTTTATGTACTCTTAGCTTGTGATTCATGGGGTTCCGGATTTTGGGAGTGTTAGATTGAGATTCTTGTACTGCTATATGCCGGGCGGCATCTTAAACACTGTTTCGTTTTGTTATCTCGGTTTTGTTAATTATTTTCTTTCCGCAATTGTTTCTTTTCCGCATTTGTTAGGCTTACCTAGTCGTAGGGAACAGGTGCCGTCACGACTGTTCACGGAGGGCGAACTTGGGTCGTGAAATGTGCACTTCGTGTGACTTCTTTTCTGTTAGAGTCATATCCCAATTTTAGAACGAGGTTCGGACAAGTTGCAAAGCCGGTGAAGCTTCTGTATTCCCGGTACGTTGCCCCCCCTTGGCTCGAGTTGTCCGCTCGGGTAAGTCAGGTCTAGAACAATACACCCAGGTTTTAAACCTAGAAAAACATAGCCTCATGCCGGATCCCTAGCAGGGACGCTTGTTTGCATCACGTGCATTTGACTTTGGGGACTCAACACAGGGGTTGGGTCCGTCTAGGTTAGGTGTACCCGAAATAAAAGACCATCCTGATGCATCTTATGTGCTACTTGTGCTTTTATTTGCTCCGATTTGCATGTTGACCGGCTTCTAGAATAGGGAAGAAAAATCAAGAAAACCCAAGATTGAGGCAAGAGAGAGAGAGATCACCCGTTTATGAAAATCTCGGTATCCAGAATACCCCGAAACTCTGCCAAAATTTTGAAAAAAAAAAGGAAAGCCGTTTCAAATAATCATATTTTTCTGTTACGTCGAAATTTGCTGAACTATGCGGGTCTAATTCTCACCGGATGTGAGATACGTAGGCAAACCTCATCGGTTCTGGCCCGCAATTTTCAAAAAAAAATCCAAAAAATGTTCTCCTTTTATAGAAAGTCTTTATTTTTTACCTCAATTTTTACAAAAAAAAAAAATCCAAAAATATTTTCTTTTAATTTATTCTCAAAATCTCAAAAATATTTTCATTCTTCTTTCGAAAATTTAAACAAAAGTTCAAGATTCAAAATATTTTCTTTTTTTTAGAAGTCTTTCTTCTATAAATTCAAGATAAAAAGTCCAGAAAACAAAACTAATATATTTCTTTTCTTCTTTAGAAGTTTTTATTTCAAAATTCCGAAAAAAAAAATCGAAATCCAAAAATATTCTCTTAATTAAAAAGAATTTTTTAAAATTAAAAAAAAAAAGAGTTAGTTTATTTACTTTATTCCCGATCCCCCTGAAGTACGTAATGATCTGATTCATGCGGCGACATGATACGTAGGCAATCCCCATAGGATTCGATCATAACCATAAAATGAAAAGAGAGGAAAGAAAATTGAGTGGAAAGAAGGAGTGGCAAAACAAGAGCCCAAAAGAAAGTACAAAAATAAAAGGGAAGTGACAGGAACCAAGTGAGAAATTAATAGTGATGAGTGAAAGAAAAGAAAGTGTAAAGTGAAAAGAGTTAGTTAAGGCCGTGATGAAGCATGCAACCGTTCAAATACACGATAGAAGCGTTCAACTATTTAGGTGCATGCATACCAAACGTGCGATTGCATATCTGTTAAACTCTTAAACACTAACAAGTTTTGCTGTTGTCATTGACTACAGGAAGGTGGTTAGTTTGTTGGGCATTCTGGCAAGCCAACCATATAATACCAGGTCTAAACACAAGGCGATCATGGCTAGCAAAGAATTGGACGCGAGTGTTATTGACCCGCCGAGAGAGATGGAGGAATCTGAGTCTGGTTTGAAAGAAGAGGTACACAAGCTGAAGCACCAAATGGCCGAAATGTACCAGGCATGGATTAAGGGGCATCCTCCACCGTCATACCCTGCCAACCCTGCTTTCATCCCACCACTAGCTCAATCTCAAGAGCCCACCATTGTTGATCTATCCCCGCAACACGCACCAAGCTTCACCCCTTACCACCACTATCCTGGCACCTCTTCCCAAACCATCCAAGCTCCCCCAGCCAAAGCAACCACATACCCTACTCCGCCAGCTACCCCTGTCTTCGTAGCGCCTCCGCGAGATACTCTCCATCGATCTTCTAGTGAGCCAACATTCCAAGCCCAAGATAACCAGTACTATGCCCCAGAGCCCACCTTCAAAGTCCTGGATCACTACTCCTACACTCCTCACCTTGAACTTCCTGTCGAAACTGAGATGCCACCCAAAAACACGGAGCAAGAGGAGATATTTAGGAAGGTAAAGAGCTTGGAGCAGTCGCTGAGAAATATGCACGGATTAGGTGGCCAAGTGAGTGTGGCTTATAAGGATTTGTGCTTGTTTCCTGATGTCCAGCTACCTGCCGGATTCAAAATGCCCAAGTTTGATTTGTATGTCGGGCATGGAGACCCTGTGGCCCACTTAAGAGGATTTTTCAGCAAAATGAGGGGTGCTGGTGGGAAAAGTTAATTGTTGATGGCATATTTTAGTCAAAGTTTGATTGGTGCAGCATTGGAGTGGTACAACCGCCAGGATAACAGCAGGTGGTACACTTGGGATGACTTGGCTCAGGCTTTCGCTCGGCATTTCCAGTACAATGTAGAAATTGTCCCAGATCACCTATCCTTGACTAAGATAGAGAAAAAGCCCAGTGAAAGTTTCAGGGAGTATGGTTTCCGGTGGAGAGAACAGGCGGCGCGAGTCAACCCTCCAATGGAGGAAGATGAAATGGTGGGGTACTTTCTTCAGGACTTGGAGCTTACTTACTTTGGTCATCTGATCTCGGCCATAGGTAAGTCTTTCAATGTAGTGAAGATGGGAGGAATGGTAGGGGAAGGACTCAAATCGAGCGAGATCATGAGTTACTCCGCCATCAAAGCAATCCAGAATGGCACCGGGGTGTGTCAGGGAAAAAGAAGTAAGAGGATGTTACTATGGCCGTCTCAGGATCGTGGCATTGCCCGAGGGGTTCGCCACACCATTACACCCAGCCTCGACCCCACCCTCAAACCTACACCCAAGCTCCATATAATCCACCCCAACACTACTTTCCGCCACCAGACCCTCAGTATTCAGTCATACCACCCCAATACCACGTCCACCGCGCACAGTCATATGCTCAACCCCCTCCATACCCGCAATGGCATGCACCAGCTCCACAAAATCCTTACCCACCTCCACAAACATATCGAAACCCTAATGGTCCAAGCTTTCGACCCAGGCTGGAGTATAGAAAGGAAAGGCAGCAGCGGAAGCAAACTTTCACCCCGCTTGGGGAGTATGCCAGTTTGTTTCAGAGGTTGAGGCAGTTAGATGTTCTGAGGCCGATTGAGTCAAATTACCAAATCCCCCTCCAAAGAACCTGGATTATTCCCTCATATGTGCATATTGTTCTGATGCTCCAGGGCACGACACAAAAAAGTGTTGGCATTTGAAGAGCGCCATCCAAGAGCTTATCGATACAAACCAAATTGTGGTCCAGAGCCCGGAAGCTCCAAACATCAATCAAAATCCATTGCCAGCCCATGCTGAAATGCACATGATTGAGATAGTGTATAAGGATGGGGAGCCTAAGAAGCCTTCGTAGTCTGTCATGATGATCCGTGCCAATGAAAGTAATTCAGTCAAAACTCCAGTTGTTACAAATGCAACATCCTCGACAGCTGAAGGGCTGACGGATAAGCTAAGCCCGTCCGATGTTAAGCTGCCTATATTAGTTGTGAAAGGGTCCCCAGATGATGTTGAAGCGAAGCAAGGAAAGCCAAAAGTGGTTGTGTCGGGGGCAGCAAGTAAGCCTGTCATAATCGTGGAAGGGGCTCGCATTGACCCTATTATTATTAAACTGGTGACCCAGCTGCCGGTAGATAACACCAAGGTTGTTCCATGGAATTACAAGCAAGTGATTGTAACTTATAAAGGGAAAGAAGTGGAAGAAGGAGTTAATAAAACCCAGGGGTTGTCTCGTTCGGGGAGATGCTTTACTCCAGAGGAATTAAGGAAAGCTAAGCCACTCAAAGACAACCCGATTCCGGTAAAGAAACCAGTTACCGAGGAGGAGACAGAAGAATTTTTGAGAAAAATGAAGGTACAGGATTACTCCATCATGAAACAGTTGACGGAGAGGGAAAAGATTCCGTTGGCGATATTGTGCTCGAATTGACAATAGGACCCATTGAATTTACCATGGAGTTCTAGGTGGTATATGTGGTCGTTTCCTATAATTTACTGTTCGGTAGGCCTTGGATACATGTTTCCAAGGCAATTCCTTCTTTCCTGCACCAGATGGTAAAGTTTGAGTGGGATAGACAGGAAATTGTTGTGCATGGTGATGAGAACTTATGTGCTTACAATGATACATCTGTCCCATTTATTGAAGCTGGAGATGATGAAGGGCCATGGTTCTACCAAGTTTCCGAAACAGTGCCAGTTGAGAAGATTCTGGAAGGGGAGTGTATTCCAGGTCCAAAGTTGGCCTCCGCATCCGTCATGGTAGCAAGTGAAATGCTGAAGAATGGTTTTGTGCCGGGCAAAGGTCTGGGCGCATCTTTACAAGGTATCGTGCAGCCAGTGTCTCTACCTGAAAATCTGGGAAAGTTTGGTCTGGGATTCAAGACCACAGGGGACGAGGTGAAGAGGGCTAAAATGTTGAAGAAGAAAGCATGGTCACTCCCTAAGCCTATCTCATGCCCTTCCAGGTCCTTCGTCAAGCCAGGGGTCAAGAAGCGCCCAGTATCAGCAGTCCCAAAGCATGTGGTTGACTTTGATGAAGAGCTAATTGAAAGGTTCCAAAGTTTGTTTAATGAGGTGAACATGGTGGAAATTGGGGAAGGTTCCAGCAAAGCAGATGTGCAGTTTATTGGGCAAAAAGTGAAACTTGACAATTGGAAGGCTACTTCTCTCCCTACTCGGAAGGAGTTTTGGTAGTTTGCTTTGTTAACCTTTATATTATCTGAGTTATTCCAAGGTTGTAATCCAGATTTTTATTTTTCGCTTGTTTTGATGTACAAACCCTTCTATCCTTTATTTTCAATGAAATGCAATTTCCCTTTTTCCATTACTCCTGATAGTGTCATTTTTGTCTTTCTTTGTACAGTTCCTTTTATGCTGGTTTCAATGACATGACATGCATGAGGAATTTTCGGCCAAGTCTTAAAAGCCAATATAACTCTAAAATAATAATCCAAGAAGTAGAGTGTGATGATGAAACGGAATATGATGAAGAAGCAGCATTCGAGGAAATTAGTAAAGAACTAAATCATTTTGAAGAGAAACCCAAGCCTAATTTGAATGAAACTGAAGCAATCAATTTAGGGGATCCAGATAATATCAGGGAAACCAAGATAAGTGTACACCTGGAACCACAAATCAAGGAAGAAATAATCAAAGCACTGTTTGAATATAAAGATATTTTTGCATGGTCATATGATGACATGCCGGGTTTGAGTACTGACCTGGTAGTTCACAAATTGCCCAGTGATCCGGCATTCCCTCCTGTCAAGCAGAAGTTAAGGAAGTTCAAGACTGACATGAGTGTGAAGATCAAGGAAGAAATCACAAAACAGTAGGATGCAAAGGTCATTCGAGTCACTCGGCATCCCACTTGGTTAGCTAATGTTGTGCCTATACCAAAGAAGGATGGTAAGACCAGTGTGTGCATTGATTATCACAATCTCAACAAACCAAGTCCAAAAAGATAACTTCCCATTGCCAAATATCCACATTTTGATTGATAACTGTGCCAAGCATGAAATCGGGTCTTTTGTGGATTGCTACGCGAGATATCACCAGATCTTGATGGATGAGGAAGATGCAGAAAAGACAGCGTTCATCACGCCAGGGAACATATTTCTACCGGGTAATGCCATTTGGTTTGAAAAACTCTAGGGCAACTTACATGAGGGCAATGACTACCATATTTCATGACATGATACATAAGGAGATTGAGGTCTATGTAGATGATATGATCATAAAGTCCATGAAGCAGTCCGACCATGTTGAGGACTTGAGAATGTTTTTCCGAAGGCTCCGCAAGTACAACCTCAAGCTCAACCCGGCAAAATGTGCATTTGGTGTCCCATCTAGAAAACTGTTGGGATTCATAGTCAGTCGGCGAGGTATTGAGTTGGATCCGTCGAAGATTAAGGCTATCCAGGAATTGCCACCGCCAAAGAACAAGACTGAGGTGATGAGTCTGCTCGGGCGGTTAAACTACATCAGCAGGTTTATCGCTCAACTCACAACGACTTGTGAGCCCATCTTTAAGTTGCTAAAGAAGGATGTTGCGGTCAAATGGACTGACGAGTGTCAGGAGGCATTCGACAAGATCAAGAGGTACCTCTCAAACCCACCTGTTCTAGTCCCGCCGGAACCTGGAGACCTTTAATTCTTTATTTGACAGTCCTGGATAATTTGTTTGGTTGTGTGTTGGGCCAACACGATATCACTTGCAAGAAGGAGCAGACCATTTATTATCTCAGCAAGAAGTTCACTTCTTATGAGGTCAAGTATACTCTCCTTGAAAGGACCTGTTGCGCCTTGACTTGGGTGGAACAAAAGTTGAAGCATTATCTGTTGTCCGACACTACTTACCTCATTTCTCGCGTGGATCCTCTAAAGTATATCTTTCAGAAGCCTATGCCCACAAGAAGACTTGCAAAGTGGCATATTTTGCTCACAGAGTTCAACATCGTCTATGTGACCCGGACTGTGATGAAAGCCCAAGCCTTGGCCGATCATTTGGCCAAGAACCCGGTGTCACACCTCCTTTTTACCACCCGAGGGGTATATAAGGGAGTTTTCCAATTAAAGTGACACTATTCGAAATGGGATTATTTTATTTAATTTTAGAGTCGCCACTTGGGATAATTTATTATGGTGTCCCAAGTCACCGGTTTATTTCAAATCCCAAATCGAGAAAAATCGACTTTATTTAAAAGCCTGCGAAACCAGAAATTCTATGTAAGGAATTCTGTTAACCCGGGAGAAGGTGTTAGGCATTCCCGGGTTCTGTGGTTCGAGCACGGCCACTTAACTATTAATATTGGCCTAATTATCTAATTTACTACATGTGTTAAACCTATTGTGTATTTTAGCTTTATAACCACTTTTAACCATTTATGGAATTATTCTGGAACAAGTTACGATTGTCGTACACTTGTTTGTTTGATACACATTGTGAATCGTGTCACGGAAACCGTACCCACGATCTACAACATTTTTAATTTATTAACGTTATTAGAAGTTGTGGCTGGGTCACATAAATATACCCCCGAATTTGAAAATTATGTATCACAACTACGTCACGGGAACCGTACCCGTAGTTGTGATAATTTTATTAATCGCGCCTAAAGCAAGCTACGATATTCGTGAGTTGATTATTTTTCTAAGGTTTGAGATTATCGTAAGGCCAAGAGTTATGGAAATTATTTCATCTATGGATTCATATTGCTGGCTACTTCCAATTAGCAACCCCACTTCTGAAATCTAACTACTATGGGTACAGTCAAGTGTTTTTCTAGAATCTAGACCTGGTAAACTCATTCAAATATAGTCAGCAAGAATCCAAATGCAACAATTAGTTTATCAACAACTTCAAATCCATTAACACTACAGAACCTTTACAATAACAAAAAAAAACTTTTTGTATATATTGCTGAAATTTCTTGAGCACATCCAACGAAAATTTGAACTTGAGGGACTCTTTTAGTTTATTGTCATCCTGGTGCAAAGAAATATCATATGCTAGTTGTGACAATCTTCTAGCTACAAAAGTATCTCCAACACTGCAGGTGTCCCCAACATCCAACTTCAAAACCTTAACTCGTCTACAGAATTCCTTGGAATAACAGAAAAAAACTTCACACCTTTTGTGACAAGAAGTAACCTCGGATTTGGATGGCACAACTTAGGAACAACAACGTTATAATGTGAATCTTCTCCTTGTGCTAAAAAGTAATTCTCCTCTTCACTTATGTTAAACATATTAGCAGTTTCCCATATGCCAAGGATAGTTTTTGTATATACTGCTTTATACTCTTAGCTTTAGCGGGAGTTATCTTAACACATTTCCTTCAGCCACTTAATCTCCATTTTTATTAAGGAATAACAAACAACAAGAAGGATCCAATTAATAGACTTTTTAAGCTACTATCAAGCAAACAGACAGTCATCCAAACATCAGAATATGCAAATCAAAAGAGCATGGACACAAATAAAGCACTTAAAAAAGAATACATGAGATCACTTGTAATTTTGAAACAATAAGGAAAAAGAAAACGAACCTTTATTAGCTTTCAAAATATACAAAGAAAAGCACGCTGAAGAAGCTAACAGTGAACAAATCCGCTAACAAGAGACCACGTCGGAACCTCGAAACTCGCCGGGAAAAGCTCGTCGGAAAACTTCGACTCGAACCCGACTAAAAATGTTGTGTTTTAGGTGCAAACGGGACTGCTCTAAGGTGTGGTTTAATGTAGTTCTTTGGTTGGTTTTTTAGGTGATTTTCGGGTGTGTTTGGGGTTATGGTCGCTGCTGATTTTCAGTTAGAGTTCAAGTGGATAAAGTGACCTCACATGGCTAAAAATAGAG